TAATGGTAGCTACTTTGGATGGTTTAAACATGAGTATGGATAGGTTTATGGATGATCAGGTTATCAGTGGCTTCCACCATTCATGTCTGCTTACTACTGCCTGAATCATAAGCAACATGCATTCATTACTGGTTGCCTGGAAGTCCCAGTGGAAGGGGGCTATCACCTTCCACTCCAGGCCCCCAAGCTTCCCAAATCCATCCAGTCAACCACAGTATGACACAGAATGTTGAATGGCCAAATCCCACTGGGTTTTTCTACAAATTCTTTTGTAGACCTTATGTAATTGGTCTAACTCATCTTGTTGTTTAGTCGTTAAGTCGTGTCCGACTCTTCGTGACCCCATGAACCATATTGCGCCAGGCCTTAAATTGGCATTAAATTGGCAAAAGGTGATATTGAGCCCCTTCTCTTCACCAGAAGGTTTCTGATTAGTATAGCATGCAGATACATTAGCAGGTGTATGAGAGAGCAGCTTGGGGCTTTGGAGAATGTGTGGTTGTTGCAGTTATTATAATTCAAGTTTATTTATACATGAAAATCAAATTTTCAAATGCAATGCTCCTTGGATAAAATTGAGGAAGGGGGCAGAGATTAGGAAATTAGTAGGATTACAGACCAACCAGAGAGAAATAAAGCAGCATTACAAGATGTGTGTAAAATGTAGGGGGCACCAAGGGATTTTGGAGGAAGCCTCTCACACGAGCCCTTGGAGGTAATTTCACCAGAGACTTATTGAAGCATTAGAATTTGGGCTTTATGATCAGTAACCAAAGACTAGCAACGGAGTGTTTTTCGAGTATTTTGAACTATAACTCCCACTATTCATTGGCACTGACCATGCTGATTGGAGCTAATAGAAGCTGAAGTCCAGAACATTTGGAGATTGCCCAATTGTCTAACTTTATCAAAAGTATTTTCTGAGTTGACCAGGTCTGGATCAGTTGAGAGTCAAAATGAAGCCCAAGATTGATGGCAATAGTAAATCTAAAAAAAAAAAAAAGTTCTCATATTGCTCATGTTCTTATCCATGAAGACATGCCAAAACATGCTCTCATCCAGGAAGACAGCAAGAAATGCACTAATAAGCAAGCTGAGCCCCACTCTTCTTCAACAGAAGCTTCTGTAAATAAAAAGCAGAGGAGTTCAGTGCGACCCAGCAGTTTATTTCATTCCTGGGCAGCAAATGCTATGGAAAAAATTGGCAAATTCTCCCTCGTTTGTACTGTTCACCCATTGCAGGTAGTGGAGAGATGAACTAAGCATTCTGGAAAAATACTCCTTTTGCATGGAGCATCTCAGAAAAGAGGAGATCGTACTGCTGTTGCTTTTTTTGAACTTCAGATCACCAACTGCAGTTGCCCTTTATCCTTCAGTTTGTTAAAAGGCTAAGATCGGTGCCTTCAATCGAGTTGTAAACTACCTTGCAGAGGCTCTTCAGAGACCACAGAATTGTCCCATGTAATAAAAAGTTGAGAACTACTAACAGAAATAGCAGCATTTTCCTTGCATTAGGGACATAGTATGACTCAAAGCCATTTTCATGCATTTTTAGTTCTATTATTAAATCAGATAACAGCAAAGAAAGCTCAAAGAAAAACCTGAGTAACAATGTGACTTACTTACCAGAATGCTCTCCATGTTGAAAATCCAGCCCCATGCAAGGGAAGGCTGACAGCCAGCCCTTCTGGAAAATTCTGAATTCCAATTCCAATTGCTAAATTCCTGTATGAATAAAATGAAACAGATTTATACAACACTGATGCTTGTGTTAAGTACTGGGAAAAGATACTGGGATAGTCCTCTACTGGAAAAGAAATCCTTATGATTAAACACATCTCTTTAATGTCAGTGTTTTAGCCCTTGAGGCCTACTGTAATCACTAATGCTTGGCATCCAGCTCATGATTTTCATCTTCAAAGTGTTCCTCAACCTAACAATGCCTCTGGGAGGCAAAGAGACATAGAGGTGGGTGGAGAGAAGACTTGTCAAAAAGAAGCAAGTTTAAAATAGCTAACTCTGTGGAATTCCAAAGAGCTGAAGTGGTGTTTTGTAAAATCTTGGTAAGTGCTGAAAATCTTAAGTTAAAGGAGGGAAGTTACAGCCATAGGAGATTTAAATAAAAGAATACATTGATTTCAAATAGGATTGAGCATTAGGAATGCCAACGGAATGCCTGAATGAACTGATTCAATCTCTTTTTGCATGGAAAGCTGAAGTAGTAGGAAAAATGCTAAGCCTAATGTTGCCTAGTGTATTTTTTTTTCACATGGCAAAGGATACTGAGATGTTGAGGCTTTAACCAACCTTGCCTTCTTTCCCAAATGCATATTCCAAGCTAACTCATAAACATAAAGAACAACATGTCCCATTCTGTGGTCTTCAAGAGACCACTCATAAGACTTACTCAGAGGTGGAGAAATACAAATTTATGCAGACTGGGCTTGAAGGAAACAGTAGGAATCTGGAACTCCTTTTTTAAAAAGAGCTTGAACATCGTATGCCACTCATGCTTGTCCATATATTAATTATAAACTCTCTCCAAATGCCACCAAAGCAGAGAAGGATTTTCTGTGATCAAGCAAGCCACAGAACTCATTCCTAAAGCTACAACAGTTCCAGATATCAAATGTCTGCCTGCCTTGAGGTAGCTCAACTATGCTTTGGCTGCAGCGGTCTTCTTTCTTCCAAGAGGAAAGGGCAGATGAACCTCAAGTAGAGTTTGACTAGCTACTTGTGATCAAAAGGAAGGGGGACTTGTTCAACCCCCCTTTCAAAAGAAAGGAGGGGTTGTTCAAGGCCTTGTAGCCAGATTAAGGCTGAAGGTTTCCCATCCCTGCCCTAATAAATACAGCTTTACCTATCACTTTCTTTAAAAAAAGAAAAGAAAAGCTGTTTTGACCACAACTGCCCCTTCCACATGCTTTTCTGTATGCTACCTTCTATGATATACTTTTTGGTATGCATTTCCTCCAGATAACTGCTGTTTTGTGAGGGTTTTTTTGTTTTGGTTTGGTTAAGAAAGAATTGAGTGGACCATGTGAATTACTGTCAGTCTGCAATTTCTAAAATCTGAGGACATCCCTAGGCTGAACATCCCTTCTTTTCGTTCAATACAGATTTGCATTCTTGCACTGTAGGAAAGTGTGCACAACTTCCATCATTGTAGCATATCTGTATTCCTGAAAGGTGGGAGTTAATATGGGTACAATCAGTTGGGTACAATCAGTTAGAAAAGTATTGGTGATACTGGTTAATAGAGGAAAAGGCTAGGATATCTACAAACAGAATGTATTTATATGCCTTTGTCAAAGGGAAATAAAACATCCCCTTATTTTATGGTAGAATTTGGAGGTTTAAGGCTGTTGAATACACAGACATAATAAAATAAGAGTAAATTTATTGTCTGGCTTTGAAGCCTTCTAATATGAAAACAAACCTAATAGCTGCAACAGACAATAATCTGCTTAAAGTTGTTAATATATTGTTAAACACCGAGCAACTGATCACCACCACTGATAATGAAGACAGTTGACCAATGTTAACAACGTAAGTATCTAACAGTTCATCTATTCAGTGCTTAACTGCTGATGAACAGAAACGTAATTTTTCTAGGAGTGTCAAACCACCAAGGTTTAATTGTCCTTCAAATAGACATGCAGCTTTGAATTTGAGCAAATTTCATCTGCAGAGGCAAGAAGAGAGCAATGTGGTTATGTAGACAGAATATTGAGTTTTAAATGTGAGAAATCCAGATTGTAATCTCTGTTCAACCACAAAGCTCGCTGGGTGGGCTTGGGCAAGTCACAATCTCTGCAGAATCTACATTACTGGCTTATTGGAAGGATAAATGAACAAAGAATTGTGAAGTGCTTTATGCATTGTAAAATGTACCTGCCCTTTCCTCTCCATCATCAGTAGTATTTAGTACCCTTTTCACTGCTTCTGTTCTTCAGGGGAGCTCAGTCTTGGCAGCCATGTTTCAATTACAGGACACTGCATGTGTCTGAACGTGCTGTATTCAAGAAAGATGGAAGCCAGGAATGGGCCAATGAGCGATAGGAGTAGCAGGTGAACAGATGGATCACTTAGGGAGAGAGGGCAGAAGAGGGAAAGTGAAAGTAGATTTCTAAGTAATACCTCTACAAAGACAAATATGCAGTCTGGAGACAAATGTTTTCTTACAACACAGCAGTGCTGCAAAATAATACTATCATGCTACTTATGATTTAACTGTGAAATAGATTAAGTACCCCTGCTCCTCACAAACAATCCTTAAACATTTTTATCACATTTTTTGTCTCTACAACTGTAACAAGATATATTTTAAAAACCAACTCCTGGAAAGAAAATGATTGTACTTGGAATAATAAAATGTTCCTTCCCTATAGGTACTTTCCAAGAAATGGTCAGGGGATTAAAAGTAACTAAATTCTAAAAGGTTACAGACAAAATGCTTGAGTGAATCAGCCTGATTGTTCTCATGGAACAGAAGGGTGTATTGATAAGAAGTGAGCTACAGCTTTATGAGCAAACATTTGAGTTTCATTCCATTTCAGCATACATGGCATAGGAGCAAAAGAGTGCATGTTAACATTACATTCGTGGCATGGATGCTGCTGAACTATTGCTTATGAAACTGGGTCCACTTGCTGTATGTTGGAATGCCTGCCTGTAATTTTCCTAAAATGGAATTTTAAAGGAAACTTAAGCTCCTCTTCTTGGATTTCCCTGATTGATGATGGAATTTGCTGCTCCCAAAGATGAAGGATTAACAACGCCAGAGGGCAGACTCTGGATGAAAGTGCTGCAAACCTTTATCTCCAAGGTTCTCCCTATAAGGCTCAGTCATGCCCTATAGTAACCCCTTTATGCTACACATACTTACAGTATAATTCCAGTCCAAATAACCTAAGCCACGCAACAGTGACATTCAAAACCCAACGAGGATTGAAAGGTTGAAAGGTTAGCAGAGTCACCTTTTCTAAAGGTAGGGCATCTTGTGTGCAGTATACATATACAACTTCTGCCTATATGGTCTTTCCCCATTCTCCTGACTGGATGGCCAGTTGTGTACAGTACGTATATTATTTGGGATATGCAAATCTATTCTTGAATTAAAGGAACTGGTAAGTAAGTATTACAATATCACTGAGCAGCATTTACAGCACAGAAAAGAAACATTAGCAGATTTTACTGAGTTCATGTGTGCAGACAACTATTTTATATAATGGGCATGGTTTTCCCTGTTCTTTCAGGGCATTGTGAATGGGAAAACTGATGAACACTTGAGCTCTGGGGGATTCTCTGATACATCAACCAAGCTCAGCAGTAGACAAAAGGATAGTACCTTGTGTGGTGTGTCAACTGAAAAGAAATGCCACCTATATTCTATATAGAGAGTTCAGGATAGATGCATTTATATATTTTCTGCATATATATATGCAGTAGCTTGCTTCAGCAGTATGCAGCCTCCAGCAACCATAAGGAACAATTATCCCCATCTTTGGTGGCTTTAGAGATCTACCCATGTGGGGGAGATTCCCCCCCCCAATGGAGCTGAAAAACAGCAGGGCTTCCTCCTGTGCCCTCTGTTCTTTTCCTTGCTGAGAACCTCCCATCTCTTCACAAAGACGAGCTTCATTCTTCCGAAGAGAAAGTTCAACAGCTGCAAGAGAGATCCTTTTCTGACAGATTAAACTCTTGCTTCCTCTTAGTAAAATGAGACTCGGGCTGGAAAGGAAAAATTGCTCCGTGTTGCTAACTTTTTAACAGCTGGCAGAAAGGAGGAGGCCAGGACAAACTGATGAGAATCAAGGGAAGATGGGAGATGAGGGAAAATCATCTCTTCAAGAAAACAGGGGAACTGCTGTCTTCAAGCTCTCCTACCCCCTCCTTTGCCTCTCCTTAGTACAAAGCAGCTATTACCAGCTCCAACCACAACAAACTAATGAGTGGGAGAGAGAAGTGTGAATGAAAGAGGCTGTACTATAAGAAACCACAGATTGCTACTTTCCCCTACCAGAAGGCAAAGCCTGTTTTGACCTTGCTCTAGTTATTGCCTTAAAAAAAGAAAGAAAGAAAGAGCAATTAGGTGAATTTTTATTTTGCTTTGTTCTATAGAGAAAGGATGGGTTAGTCAGGTGATGATGACTGAATGGGAAATGGAAAGGAATTAGGGAAAATATAAGCTAATTATATGCATGAAACATCTTGATGCATGCTTTGAAACAGGGAGGCCAACAATGTCTATCCTTCTTGGTCTTACTTTTGAATGGAAAATAAATTTGTGCAGGATGCTATTGCCTTTCTTGACCTTTGGGGAGTGTCTGATATTCTATGCATGTCTGTTCAGATGGAACAGCCTTCAGAACTTACAACCACCCTATAAATACAGTACATGGTTTGTACTTGCCAACATTTAAAGTCCCACTTATAGCCAGTATTCTGGAAACAATTTCTCTGCAGCTGTTAGTCCAAAATATTATCAGATGCCATCTCTCCTTTCCATGCTAGCTAACCACACCCAAATTATGCAAAATGCCAATGCGCCAAATCTGTTTTAAAAACAGAATATACTTAATAGTAAAAACAATAGAGACAGATGCTGAAGCTAGATGAAGGACTCATTTAGCCTTTGTTAAGTTCAACAGCATAAGATTAAGCAGAACTGATGAAAATATGGAGGATGAAGGATATGGTTAGCTTGGGAGTAGCAACAGGAG